TACCGGACGTAACACCCAATGAAGTTCGAAGGTCAGTGTAAGAAATGAAAAACAATAAGTCCCCCGGAGGCGATGAAATAGTGGCAGATGCCTTGAAAGTGGCTGGAAAAAGATTATGGCAGGTCCTTGCCAAACTATTCAGTAGATATTTGCAGGAAGCAATAAAACACAGTGTGTTTTTCCAGTGTTGACTTACGGTGCGGAAACGATGACCATGATCCGTGTGTGTCAAAGGGCGATGGAGCGTGCTATGTTGGGCGTTTCACTACGAGACAAGGTCCCAAATCGCCAGCTACGACAAAGAACAGGAGTGGCTGATGCAGTAGAGAGAGTAGCAACACTGAAATGGAACTGGGCAGGTCACGTGGCTCGAATGACAGATAATAGATGGACAAAGCGGATACTGGAATGGAGACCAAGAGATGTTGCCTACCGAAGCAGAGGTCGTCCACCAACACGTTGGACTGACGATCTAAAACGTTGTCATGGGAACTGGATGTAAGAGGCACAAGATCGGAATAGATGGAAAATTATGAGGGAGATCTATTTCCAGCAGTGGATGAGCGAAGATTGAATGATGATGATGATGATGACCATAATTTTAAGACATGAGTGAAAAATTGACTCCAACATAGCCAATCAAGACATTAAAACGATCTTGTTAATGTGTGTGTGTGTGTGTGTAAATTGTGAGGAAGATCTTCTCGTTTAGCTAACCAAATCTTAGTACATTCTACTTAGGAAAAATTTGCAATGCAATGTGTTTCAATTAGTAAATTGAGAGTTTTTTTAATTTTTCTTGTTCTTGTTAAATCAAAACATTAAAAAGGATAATTGCTTAAAAAACATTAGTTTAACCGAAGAAAAGTTTTCTTATATGTCAATATTGATCCATAATTTTAGGCAATTTTCTGTGTTTTTTTTTTCCTCCAAACGGCCAAACAAATTAACTGTTTGTCTTTTATTTCATCAGTTTATTTTCGTCTGAACTTCCCCAGCATTTGTGTTGCTTGTGTAGCATTTTTATATATTTTTACTTCCTAGCCATACTTCTCAGCTTTATGTGATTATGGTTTTAACAATGGTATTATATATTATTCTGGTTTTATTTTCTTTGCTTACATTTTTATCTCATAGTACTGCTTTCGATAGTGCTATTGGTTTTCTTTCTTAAATATTTCTCCCAAAGGTATTACAGAGTATTGTTGTTCTTCTTCTAACTCTTATTTTTCGTACTCTTCTATAGCGTATTTCAGACATGCGATGCAATGTACGAAGGATAGGATCATGCAAAGTAAATGAGAATTTTCTTGGCAACTTTGCTGCTCTTCACAGCAACAACCTTACTAAGAACATACAATTAGAGATTCTCAACAATTCCGTCATAAAATTAAAGATTGTTCTTTTTCTTCTTTATTCATTTGAGATGTGATTAAGTCTGGATATCCGACAGGCTCTTTTTAGATAGTTCATTTTCACCACTTCCAGTTTTTTTTCTCTTTCATCATCGTTTGTCAACATTCAGATCCATACATCAAAATTGGTTCTATAATCTTCTTGTAAATTGTCATCTCCCTGTTAGTGGTAAACTGTTTTAGCTGCTTATATTAGCTCTATATTTATGTTGGATTTTCCATACCTTTCCATATTTTAGTCAGCCGGACTAAAGATGAAGTTTAAGTGATTAAGTATTTATATGTAAAAATGGATTGTATTGCCTTACACCCACTGAAATTTAGCAGCATCACTGATTGATATTCTGGTACATTCTACAAAATCATATAGCGACAATAATTGTCCTTGGTTCTAAAATAATAAACAATGAATATTCATATTAGGATTCAAAAAGTATTCTAATATTATTACATAATCGATACTGAATCATCTATACCAAATCAATCGTGGAATGCATCTTTACTCGTGTAACTCCTTTATCGTTTCATTCTAATGTGATTGCTTCCAAGTATTGTTTTTATATATATATATATCTATAAGTACCCGAGCCATGTACTCGATGTATACCAATTTAACTCATGTCATCAATATGGCATCTTCGTTGTTGTGGTTACTCATTTACAAATTATTTTCAATTATAAAGTGGCCATTTTTATGTTGAATGCTAATATGTCGCAATTAGTTATACGTTGCAATAGTATTGGATATTAAGACCTATATACGTAGATATTCAGAAAATCCAGCATTGCAATAAAAAGTAATTTCTTTTAAAAAGTAAAAGTCTTTTATAAAAACACATTTTCTACAGTCAATAGACAATACCTAAGGACCAGATTATAATCATGACAGAAGGGTCAAAAGGAGCATTATAATAAGAACACAATTTTATAAAACTACAGTTGAAGTAATATAAGTGCTATAAATCTGCATAAAACACATTTTTTTTTATTTATGGATATTCTCAAGTTAAAGTTGATTTCATGTAATCGAATGAACTATCTTATAAGTAAAGTCGTCCCAGGAGCGCAACTCAACAATATTGGCAATATCATTTTAAAGTCGTCTACTTTAAAATGCATAATATATGTCTGAATTGTCAATATAAATGAGTCAGATAAAATTAAATTATTAGAAGAATTTTTCACTATGTAACAAAAAACAAAATTTGTTTAATTTACTGTTTGTATTTTGAGAACGATTTCCGAAGTGGAAATTGAAACGTCAATAAACTTTTTTATCTTTAATTGTGGCTTATAAGCTGGCCCAGTTAAATAGTAATTAATTTAATTTGTTTTTCGAAACCACATTATTAACTCTTACATTAGCAGTATTATTTACATATAGTTTTTGTAATAAATAGATTAAATAGATTAAATAGATTAAATATATTAAATAATATAGATATATATATATATATATATATATATATATATATATATATATATATATATATATATATATATATATATTCTGATATGTAAAAACGAGAAAAATATTGGTTTGTTTAAAATATTTCAAAATTCAAAAACATTAAAATAATTCAGATAATTAGGATAATACCCAACAAACATTTCGAAGAAGGAAAATATTTAAATTTTTGGATTACCTGTATTAAACAAAATGTAAGCTAAGCATAAAATTATTTCCTTTGTTATACTATACTTGAGTGACCCGCATAATTTAAGTGAAATCCCAAAGACAATTGAACCGGGTTTTACCAAATACATTAACGCAGCGATTAAAGACAATAGAAGAGGTTTTAGAAAGAGGTTTTTGTTAGTTTTTAAGAATTATAGAAAAATATTATTTGTAAATAAATTTTAGGAAATTTTATAATTCTAGGTAAAAATTTGTTTGTTATCGGAATGAAAGAATGGGGAATTGTGACGAGTTTTTGATTGGCGGAGATTAAAAAAGGTGGGAGGTATGCAGGAATGAAAGTTTAGTTAGATTTCGGAGTGAAAAAAGGATAGTTAGTTGGTTTCCAAGGGTGCAAGGCGAACGGCCGTTGTTCTCGGGTAGTTTCCCAGAGGTAGGAAGCAGTAGCAGTGAAAGTTTGTGAGTTTTCGTGTAGTTAGTGTATCTGACAGAAGCTGATCCAGTAAAATATTGTAAGTCATATTTTTCTACTTATATTCCAAGAGTCACTGTTCAGGCCAACGAGAGATTCAGTTTATCGTAAAGAAAAGATATTCCAAGAGTCATTTTTCACTCAGGCCAACGAGAGATTCAGTTTATTGAGAGAAGAAGAAGCTAGCATAATTTGAACGATTCGTGCATTTGAAGGAGATCATTAAGGACGAGATACTTGCAATAATTTATTGTAAGATTGCTGATTACTTAGGGAGCGGCCACGAGTAAATAGTATAGTCTACAAATAACAAGGATTTGGACCACTCATCATCAGAGAGAGATAGTTTTGTTTTCTGCAGTTTTTCTTTCATTGATAACACAATTTTTTACACTTAATTTAGAAAGGATATAAATATTTGATTAGGAGATTTAGAGTAATACTTGGATTTTGAGATTTCAACTAATATTGTTTGTACCATTAATTTTGATTGTTCACGTACGTAGAACAAAATTTTGAGAATTATTATATGAGATTTTGTTTATTGAAAACTTTTGATTGTGAATTATTTCATTATTTTTATTTCAATATATAGTGTTAGATCATATGTGTTTTTTATTATTCCGGTATTCTTTGGACCTTACCTTTCACATGTAATAGCATAGATATTGAAGCACGAATAAAACCCTGAGATAAGAGAATTAAAAATTGTGATAGAATCATAATCATATCATTTAAATAATTTAATTAATAAAAAAATTAATTAGCTAATTATTGCTTGGCGCACCAAGACTTTAAATATCACATTAATATATATATATATATATATATATATATATATATATAATATATATATATATAATAGATTAAATAGATTAGATGTTCTGGCGTACCCATTTCTCTAAGTATATGCCACATTTTATCCCATTTTACGGTATCGAAGGCCTTGGAATAGTCAACAGAGCATAAATATGTTTCTATGTTAAACTACCGAGATTTTTCAAAAATTTTACGAATATTAAGAATATGTTCTTTTGTACCTGGGAAGAATCAGCATTGTTCCTAGGGAATTTATGGTAAGAGAATTGATTTTAGTCTTTCATTAATGATGGTTAGAAGTACTTTGATCGCGTGTGATATTAATGCTACTGTAGGGTAATTACTGCAATCTATCGGTTAACCCGGTCATTTGGCCACTTGATTGGTATCCCTGGTATTCCTGGCCATCGGCATAAAACAATTAGCACAAACATAATAAAAATGCTTTTTTTACGGATTTTATTGATAACGTAAAGTTAGTGATTACTGATATTGGAGAAACCAGCATCAAGAAAGAACTAAAATCCTTCTTTTGGTAGATGTATTCCTTCCGCCTATTACATAGGTGTGCATATTTGAATTAGTTCCTGTAAATATTTATTTTCTCAAATCTTACCCTTTTATTTTTAAACACTGAACGTCGTTTTCTTTCCAGATAATCCGTCATACTTCTCAATGGCGAATGGCAACCGTTCATCGGAGAGAAAGGAGACTTGGGATAGTACGGAAACGTCATTTATCAAACAATTAACACCTCCAAGAGGAGGATCATGGTACAAAGAACGAAGGATGTATTTACGGTAAATTATATAATTTAATCCATGTCAATTGATAGTTTTTTTGTCTATATTCCAATGGTGAAAAAACCCAGAAATCTTCATATTTGAATAACTTATCATTGATTACGAAAGGTTTCTGTATAAATTTCATTAAGTTTTTAATTCAAAAGATTGTATTAACTAGTATGTTAATCATAGACATCAGAAGAGACTAAAAACTTGTATTAGATAATTCAGTTGAGCTTCCGAAACGGTATGAGCACAAGAGAAACACTATTTGGTTTTAATGTTAGTATTCAAGGATGTCTATATATATATTCCAACATTATAATGAAGCATAACTTTACGATGATTACGAGCAGATATGGTTGAACATAAAAAACTGATGGAAATTCTTAGAAATAAATCCTTATCTAACGATATTTAATATTCATATGAACCCTCTACTATAATGTTTATATTATTATTTCTATTATTTATTGATTGCACTTACGACCTACAATACGATTTAAAATCTATTAGTATTAGGATTTAGAGCATGGAGAGCAGTTACCAGAGACAGGAGTGAATGTAGGATTGTTTTTAAGAAGGCTTTGGCTCATAACCAGCTATGATGGCATTGATGATCAAGATTAATTGCCCTGAGAAAATGGTGCTGTAAACTATCCAATCAGAAATAGCTGGCATAGAATAAATATAGACACAGATATCCCTCCCCAGTGATTGGAATATAGAAATACTTTGCATTATACACAAAAAGGATATGTCTTTGAGTACTTTAACCACAGAGGAATTAAGCGTTTAAATACAGCAGTTAAAATATTTTCCACATAACTATGTCACTGTATGGCGCTATATGCAGAATGGATAGTAGGCTATTTTGGATTCAATCTCCTCCTTAAATCCACAATTATATTGAGAAATACAAAAATAACTCTACAAAACAATAATACCACCAGTACTAACATATGGGTCAGAGACCACCTGGACTTTAACAAAAAGTAATGAAAACATGTTAGGATGTTTCGAGAGAAAAGTATTAAAGCGAATCTATGGAGCAATGAATGACAATGGAATGTGGACAAAACGATACAACTTCGAACTTTATAGAATATACCAGGAACCAGATATCGTAAAGCATAGTAAGATAGGACATCTGAGGTGAATAGGGTATGTAATGCGGATGGAACAAAATGACCCAAATAGAAAAATGCTCCTTGGTCAGATAAGAAGAGGAAGACCCAGATCAAAGTTCCTTGATAACATCGATGAAGACTTGAGAAATATGGGAATACGTGCTTGGCAATAGATAGGGACGAATGAAGAGAAATTCTTGAGGAGGCTTGACCCACACAGGGTTGAAAGCCAGAATGGTGATTACAGTGGACATATAACCTCTGTAACGGAATTGACATTTAAAGAAGAAAAATAAACATCATCAAAACATAAACTAAGAAATATATAACACATACGTAATCTGTAAATTCAGTTAAAATAAAACTGTTTGTACTTCTGTGTACAACATGCAAATTCCTGAAAAACCAGCAATAGTATTTTGATATACAATTCCCCATCTTTTCAGCACTAGCTAATTACGACTTAATGAAAAAAATACCTAAGAAATCAACACTGTCAATAAACGAACAAATCAAATTAAAAATTTCCACCTCACCTTCTCCAAAACATATTCCGGATACGAATAAAGAGATTCAGCAACAACAGCCATTAGCTGGCAGCGCTTACGGTATATACATACAACTTTATCACTTCCTGTACTTAAAATAGTCGCTACGACTACGAAAACGCAACTTATTGCAAATTATAGGCACGTGTCCTTATAATGGCAAGGTGTAAGAATTCAAATTTAGTAAATTGACGTTAGAGGTTGTTGCTTACTTGTAAATGAGACGCACTTGAAAATTATGTACCAACTGGGTTATTTGTTCGGTATGAATGGGTTACAGACGCACCAGCAGCTGTTATTAGTCTAATCTGCGGCTTAATTTGAACTGAAGTTTGACAAAATAGTTATGCGGTTTCTGTAAACGTAAGGTCAACAAGATATAATGTAGGAATTGTAAAATATTGTCAACATATGTTAATATTCTCAAATACATAGACAGTGTGTTGCCATATTTGGTCAAAAATGTTCTGTCTTCAACAAACATCTCCTAAAATTATCGAATTGTTATCTCATCTCCTTTATCCATCTTCTTATATGATCGAACCTTTAATTGATTATTAGTTACTGAGATACAGGTAGTTGAAAGTTTGCAATGAAATTTAGACATGAACAAACTGAAAATTAAAACAAAACTTGCAAACCGAAGATTGTAGCATATGCTACTATCGACTTTTCTGAAGTTGACACTGAACTCTCTCAAATCGACTGGCATTTATTTTTTGCAGACTTAAACGAGCCCATATTCATGTGTACTGCATTTCTCGATAAAGTCCACAATATAATTTCTACAAATACCACCTTCCGTAAGATTTATAAAAACAACCCTAAATCCTGGATAAATGAAACAGTAATAATATCTAATCCCAATGTATATAGCATCTGTAGACTGAAAAAGCATTCGATAAGGTGGAACATTGGGCAGTAAAAAACTCTTTACAAAATAGGAGAATAGACTATAGATATACGGACTTCGATTAAAATACGTACGATCAAGCAACAACATCCATTAACATAGTTGAACAAACGGAGCCCATTAAGATAGGGCGAGGAGTCAGGTAGGATGACACTATATCACCAAAACTATTCAATCAAGCTTTGGAAGATGTTGTGAGGATATTACAATAGGAAAAACGGGGTATTAACATAAATGACCAATACTTGAAGTACTTGAGATATGCAGACGATATTGTATTAATAACAGATAAAAGGGAAGAATTACAAAATATGATGGATGAATTAAATGGCGAATCAACAAAAATAGGTCTACAAATGAATTATAATAAAACGAAAATTATGACCAACCAACCAGAAGAATTAATAACTACAATTGCACAAACAACTATGGAACAAGTAAAAGAATATGTATATTTGGGATAAATAATAAATACCCAATTTTTTTTATTATTTTTAGTAAAATAAATAAGACAGAATGATTCGCACAATAGTACATTGTTTACCGGGTAGGAAAAGCTTAACATTCCTGGACAACTGTGAAGATTGCTAAATTATTACCAACACAGAGTCCAGGAATGTGGCTTTTCCTACGAGGTTAACATACTATTTTTCCGCAAATCGTTTAAAATTCTACAGATATTGATTGATTTAAAAAAAACGCGATAATTTTATTCCCAAATAAATGGTGCTTTGAAATTCCTAATAAAATTACTTGGGTTACTATGGAAACGTATTGAGGTTGAATTGTCAAACTTGATGCTTATAAATTTAATTGCTGGTGTTCTCGAAAGTAAAATGATAAGTGATGATGAAATTTCCATTCCTGGGACTCCTCCAGAGCTGGTTGAGGCAGTGAATACTGCTTCATTAGAATTATTGCCAAAGAAATCAAGAGAAAAGTACGAAAATGCATACAGACGTTTTATGGATTATCGCATGAGTAAAAATATGAGTTCTTTCTCAGAAAATATTGTAATGGCATACTTCCTAGACCTTTGTTTAAAGATGAAATCTTCAACATTATGGGCCAATTATTCAATGCTGAAGTCAACCCTTGCACTTAAACACAATGTAGATATATCTACATACTCAAAACTTCGTTCTTTATTGAAACGGCAACCTCAAGGTTATAGGGCAAAGAAATCTAAGATTTTAACGAAGGAAGAAATTGAAAATTTTATCCAGGAAGCTCCAGATAAAGAAAATTTAATGACTAAGGTAATTTACAAGGTTTTAATTTCTATTTAGATTATAGCTTTACATATTTATTTTTTAGGTGGCTGTAATATTTGGTATTTCTGGGGCCTGTAGAATGGATGAGTTAGTCCGAATGACTGTACACGATATATAAGACTTAGAATCTAAGCTTTTAATCAGCTTACCTGATTCGAAAACCAACAAACCAAGATCATTTGTAATTAATCAGATCTACTTGAATGTTTATCGAAAGTATGTTTCGTTAAGACCAGAAAATATGAACAGTGACCGATTTTTCTTTAAATATCAAAGCGGAAAGGGTTGTAGACAAGTGGTAGGAATTCATCAATTTAGAAAAATGCCCAAAATAATTGCTACTTATTTGAACTTGGTAAATCCGACAGAATATACTGGTCACTGCTTGCGTCGGTCTTCTGCAACAATATTGGTTGACTCTGGTGCCGACATAACTAGTTATAGAGGCATGGCGGATGGAAGTCATCAAACGTTGCTGAAGGATATATCGAAGAATCGCTTAACAATAAGGTTGAGGTGGCAAATAAAATTTTCACAGTACAAAATATTCAACAAAATGACACTTCCACCCTGCATGTTGTCCAAAATGTTTCTAATAGTTCTAAGAGTGTTCCTCCAATGTTCAATAATTGTACTAACTGTCAAATTACTGTAAATATAACAAATTGATCTTAAAAATGTATTCAGCAATGACTTGATGTTTTCAAAATATAAATTAATTCCTTATAAGCAATGTGTTTTCTATCATTTATGTAGAACACTAACAACTGTACGAAATATCATTTCGTCACAATAAGGAAATGACATTTCCTTACAGTAAGGAAGTCCTGACTTTTTCTTCAAGAAATTTTGACAGGAATGTCAAAATTTCCTGGCGATTTGCGGAAAAAACTTGTTTTGAAAAATTACCAGTTTTTCTGTTGTGCCACTATTGCATACAGCCGACGATATGTATCTGTACCCCTTGAATATTTTTCTTGTATCTGACCAACATGATACGCAAATATTTACAATATGTGCAAATATTTACAAATTTGACTGTTGATGTCTTGCTTTGATAAATCCAAGAATTTTGTTTTAAAAAATATTCGTATGCAAACCAATTCTTTCTCTATGTTTATCGTTTTTACATCAACGATGTCTGCCATGTCGACGGTGTTGTCTGCATATTTAATAACATTCCTTACAAACATACCTTAGTTTTATTTTAATGTGTTTTGATTTAAAATATTTAGTGAAAATAACGGTAATAATTTAAAACGTTATTTGTTTTCAACTTTTTTATAATGTATTGTTTTGATGGACTTTTTAAAGATCTCTTATTTAATCTTAACTGCAACTTTTCTAGCTAATTTCTTATATTTATTGTATCATATTTTATTCGTTTTTGGTCGTAGATTTTTTTTCTTTATTCAGTCACTTTATTTTTTGTTTATTTGTTTGTTGTTGACAGATTCTCCATTAATAACGGATGGAACGTGAAAGTATAAGCTTACCAAAATCTCAGGACACTGTGGGACCTGAGATTTAAGACTCACTCATCTGTCTTAAAGCTTTTCTTATTCTATCATGCATATTCCTGCGTAATAATAACTTATTTCTTACCATGGAATACCCAATTTGAATGCAATGTAACGTAGAAACTTTTTTCTGTGTACTTTCAAGTGTTAGAATAATACACATAATAAGGTGATCAGATTACACTACAGTTTTCTAGATGTGGTCCTACTAAACTTGTATAAAGAGTTTTTAGGGCATAAATGTTAGTTAAGGTCAACTGAATAGAAAAAAAGGAAAAACTGCTCTCAGCCTCCAGCAGCTGAGAAATTCCTGACTATGGTAGAGGTCAGGATATGGTAAAATGCTGATAGAACATAAAAAAGAGATATTCTTACCCTAAAGCTTAGACACTACTTTGAAAACAATTTGAGAAGAACTTAAATGAGTTGCAGTATACGAAAATTGGTATTGTGAACTTAATAGAGAGGACACACTTAAAAGAGTTGAAGACTTTGATAAATTGCTGTACACAAGCCAACACAAAGCAAATAGCAGAGAAGATCAAGTACCAGAAATATTAACAAGGAAAAAGAGCATTTTAAACCAAAACCATAAACTGTTTACTGCAGTACTAGAATATTCTTGTACAAAACTTAACTGTGAAGAGACAGGCCTGAACATTGGCGGTAGAAGATTAAAAAATTTGAAATTCGCAGACGACATAGTTTTGTTCTCAGACAACCTCAAGGAGATATGTACAATGCTACATGAACTTCAGTTAGTGTGTGCCAGTGTGGATCTTACAATAAACGTCTCCAAAACAAAATTCATTACAAACCTAGTAACTAGCGGAAGTATCAGTATTGGAGACAATGAAGTAGAGTTTTTTTCCCTATTTAACAATAAACTTTTTATCTTCGTGTTTTTTTTATTCTTAAGTTAAAAGTTATTGTAATCGTTTCAGATCCGTAAGTTCAAATTCTGCAGATTCCAATCAAGAACTGCTAATAAAAGGAGAGCCAAGACTTAGCGATATCGCACCTGATTTATCCTTCAAAGGACCTCCCAGTCGGTCCAGTTCCATCAAAAGCCAAAAATCGGATTTTATCACCGATTTGAGTTACCTACCAAGAACTCTTTCGGAAGAACCTGTCGATATATTTTCCGAAAACGAAGTTTTCGATTCCGATAACACTGAAAGGTGAATAAATGTTTGTGTTATAAGTTATATTTTTGCAAGTTACGTGACCTTTTTATATCCATTATACCTCTTATACTGTTTTAAGAAAATTGAGTTGATCGGTCTATAGTCCAGCACATTGTGCAAGGCCTGCGAATATTTGGCTGCCTTTGTAGCTGTAAGTTCTTGAACTCATATTAAGATTTTTTCATTTAGGCAGTTAACATTTGCTTAGTTTTCACCATTTCAATTTTATTTTCATTTTAAAAAAGTCTTAAGATGAGTTCAAGAACTTCCAGCTACCAAGGCAGTCAAATATTTGCAGGCATGGCACAATATGCCGGACTAGAGACTGATCAACTCAATTTTCTTATAAACCAATTCGTTGATCTGCTTTTATCTACACTCTTTTGTTACATGTAGATACAACAATTTTATTCCCATGGAACGAACTAGTCAAAGAAGGCATTCGATCGGCACTTTTGTCGCTGCTTCTGTAGATAATAGGCAAACGATCAAACAAAGCGACACAAATTTGAGCTCGAGTTCGTCGAAAAATGTCAAAGAAGTCGAAGTGGAGATTCATTCAACGAGGCATGCGTCATATCCGAGAAAGAGGTGTATAAAAACTGGCAAAGGTAAGATTCTCATAGTTCTCAAATTATTAATAGGTCAATTAAGATAGTCTTTTATGATTGTATGAAAGCGCGTTTCATAATCAGTTCAGCATTGATTTACACCTCAAACGAATTTTAAACAATCTTCAGTCCTCAGTGTCTGGTTTGTTTTATTTTACAGCTTGATGTAATGACACAAGTAAAGAATTCAAAGTGAACAGTTCTCTTCAGATCCCAAGGAAAAGTTGAACTGGTTCTAAACTACGAACTAAGTAACCGCGAACAATAAGTAAGACTCCGGACTAGCAGTCCCTATCAGTACCGAACTTGATCACCGGGAACGCTCATTTTTACACTACACATACGATGTAATCCTGAACACGTCCAGTACATATATCACGAATGCAACTAATAAAAAAAGACTCTCATAAATACATAATCAAAACGGCAAACGTATTATTTTGTTCATAATTGAAAAACTTGTATAGTTAGAGGTTTGACGTCAACAGACAACTTTTTCAGAAAAAAATATAGACAAAATGAGATACGCTAAATTAAAATCGGATAATAAACAAAAAAGTTATTACAAAATGAACAACAAAATCGCTGTTTTTGAATAATGTTTAATTTTTTCATATTTATTAAAATTGTTTAAATGTAAACAAACATAAATGTAAATAAAACAAAACATCTATTTTAGAATAGAATCGAAATATGCTTTAGTGTCACTGAAAATTGTATAATTTTATGGACAAAGCTTACACAACGTCAGAAAATAACAATAACAATTAAAATGAACTAGAATTACATAAATCGCCAATATCATAAAATAAAAGATAATAAAATACACAATTTATTGTAAAATTTTAATAAATTGGAAATTGCATAGTAAACCCTTATTTCAGAATTAATAAGTTTAAGTTGCTGTTGTTAATAAAAATATAATATAGATTTGTTACTAACTCAGTGGACAGGATCGTTGAATTCCTGGTGGAGTAGTTTATGATTAGGTCTTGCTAATAGTAGTAAGTAATATAATAGTATAATCCGACAAGAGAGAACTGGCGGGTGAGCTGCGCGAAAATAGAAAAGGAATTATTCTAAGAGAGATAGGAGAGGTACTTAATCGCGATTATAGGTATATAGTATAGGTACTTAAACAGTTATACACGATGTGAACTCCTAGCCGACTGCAATAGAAATGAGCAATCCCTTCCACTTTTCAATTTGTTCTACACGCAACCCGCCAGCTCTCGCTTGTCGGGTTTTAAGACAAGCCAAGTGTACACAAAAAGGTAAAAGAAATAACGGGTACTTTTAAAAAGCGAACACAAATGAAACTCATAGACACCAATGGAAAATTAATCATTGATATCCAAGAGATGAAAGACAAATGGAGAATATATTTGGAGACACTTTTTCAAGATCAAAGAACGGATTATAGGCATCCATTTTCAGAGAGCATGACGGGCCCGGACATACTTAAATCCGAGGTAGAAGCAATAAAACGGATGAAAAGCAGGAAAGCTGTAGGGCCTGATAATATCGAAGCTGAATTTTTAAAACTCTTGGAGGAAGAAGGAATAAATTGGATCACGGCTGTCTTCAATAAAATATACAATATAGGAATCATCCCTGATAAATGGCTAGAATCAGAAGTCATAGCGATACCTAAAAAACAGGGGGCTAAAAAGTGCGAAGAATATCGAATAATCAGCCTAATGAGCCACATGAAACTGTTTCTTAGAGTCATCCATGGAAGAATTTATAAGAAGTGCGAGGAACAAATATCGGACAGACAGTTCGGCTTCATTAACGCAGTGGGTACCAGAGAGGCACTTTTCGGAGTACAGGTACTGATTCAAAGATGCAGGACGTTAACTGCGACGTATACGCGTGCTTGATCGACTATGAAAAGGCATTTGACAGAGTTCAACATCAAAAGATGATAAACATTTTAAAAAGGCAGACCTGGATGACAAAGACCTCAGAATAATTTCAGAACTCTACTCGCATACATGAAAATTAACGGAGAAGAAACAGATCACATAAAAATACTACGTGGAGTGAGACAGGGATGTATCCTATCGCCGTTGATATTTAATATGTACTCAGAGAAAAATTTTAACGAGGCTCTTTACGGAATAGACGAAGGCATCCTTCTAAATGGTGAAAGAGTAAACAATGTTAGATATGCCGACGACACCATGGTCATAGCAGATAGTTTAGAGGGACTTCAGAGGCTAATGGACAGAATAAACGAGTACAGTCAACAGTACGAACTAAACATTAATACCCACAAAACGAAACAAATGATTATCAGCAAGGAGAATATAAACGTGGCTTATATATACATTAATGGACGCAGCTAGAGCGAGTAAAACAGTATTGTTACCTGGGAACTATTATAAACGAACAGTGGAGCAATGTGCAGGAAATAAAGTGCCGCATAGAAAAGGCAAGAATGGTCTTTAACAAAATGAGCGCCATCTTCAAAAGTCACAACATATCCCTTGATACAAAAATGAGACATTTGAGATGCTATGTTTTCTCTGTGTTTGTTGTACGGAGCGGAGGCATGGACGCTTACAGACACCACTATTAAAAAACTTAAAGCATTTGAGATGTGGCTTTATAGAAGAATGCTGACCATATCATGGACAGCAAGGATCACGCACAAGCAAGTTCTAGGAAAAATGAAGAAGGAACCAAAGATTGTGTTTACGATCAAACGCATAAAATTGCAATATCTGGGACACGTTATCAGAAATCAGCACCGTTACTCCCTGCTACAGTCTATATTGCAAGGTAAAGTCAAAGGTAAGCGAGGACCCGGTAGAAGGAGAATATCATGGCTGCCGAATTTAAGAACATGGTTTAAGAAAACCTCAACGGAGCTGTTTCGAGCCGCAGCGAGCAAGGTTATGATTGCCAATATAAGGATAAAGAATTGCATTTATAAAATACCTTGTGAATGCGATCAGTTTTATTTAGGTGAAACATCAAGCCAAAAAATGTTAGAATAAGTGAACATCAATCTTATATTAAAAATAGAGAATTTGATAGATCTCAAATATGTAAACACGCATGGGATAATAAACATAGGGTTCAATGGAATGATTGAAATGTAGTCCTCGAAAGAGATCTTATTACATAGCAGGCTGAGGCTAGTTTCTTACTTAACAAATAGATATGAAGGGACCATTTAGGGTTGCTGTCTATAAAAATACCAAAAAATTTTACACAATCAACGACACTGATCTGGTTGTTATTAAGAAGCAAGGCTTGAGGACTTTCTTTACAGAACAATGTTACTGTCATATCCACATTAAAAGAGAGTAAAGTAGAGTCGAACTAGGTTTTTATTTTAAATATATCGGAAGTTATAGTTGCAAGAAAAGTTGCAATATTAGAGTTCCTCCAGGTAATACTGGTAATACAGCAAAAAGAAAAAAATGTCCATTGATTTTTAAGTTAGTCATGTTATTTATAAAGATAAGAAAAAGTAAATGATCCAATACTGAACCTTGTGGTACTCCACATAACTAGTTGTTTCCTATTCCCTAAGAAAGATTGGAACCAATTCAAAGAAATATCTTGAACTCCGTAGAAATTTAGTTTTTTATCAAAATGTCATGATTTACACAATGAAAAGCTTTGGCATAGTCACAAAAAGAAGTGGCAGTGTAAAGATTATTGTTTCGTGCTTGATAGACCTAATGTAGTACAGAATAGAGAGCATCACTGGTACATTTATTAAATAAAAAGCCTAACTGACTTTGTGATAAAATGTTTTTAACGAGAAAGGGCATAAGTTTTATAAAAGCCCAACTAAATAATTTTGGATAGGACAGGTAGTAAAGTAATAGGTCTATAGTTGCAGACATTCGTTTTTTTACCACCCTTATGATGAGGAATAATAATGGCAGTCTTAGGCACTCTGGGATATACCTTTTTCAAAAAAATCGTTAATTAGTGCGACCAGGACTTCCAACACATTATTTGGAAGATTTAAGAAAATTTTTATGGATAAAAATGATCTTGTTTAGAATGATTAGAAGAATGCTTATTGCTGATCGCTTTTCTATCAAGACATAGTCTATTTGGATTACAACGTCTCCTCCAAAGAATACCCAGGTGGTTTTGTGTATATTTTATGAGGAAATGTACTAAAATTTACGATCATGTATGTACTAGGTTATTTACAAATATTTCCACTAAAAAATTTATGAATCTATAGATAATTCATAATGAATGAATCCTTTCTGTAATATTTCATCCTACACATTTCAAATGTAAAATTCGTCTATACAGTTTGGACAAACAAAGTTTTATTTTTTACTAACTTGTTTAATCTATAAGGATTTAATAATATGTAATAATTATTATTATAATAATTACAATCTAATTATTTATAACACTTCTTTATCTCATAATTTTAAAATGAACAATTTTTTTTTACTTTTAAAATGAAGAACTGTTTTTTTCTTTCTTTGTTAACGAAATATTTGCTCTCCTTTCTTTCAAGACATTTAAATTTCACAAATATTGAACATTTTTTCGGATTTCTCTATAATTATTCTCATTTTGTTGCTTCTTGTTATTCATATTTATAAAAAAATTATGTATTTTAACCGTGCCTGACCTTTCAATTATTACATACAGATTTAGAACGATATGAATTGATATGCTTGGGCTATAACCTGTGGCAGGGATACCGTTACGTTTGTTACCTGTGCAGTGTATACCTACGGAACTTTGCAAAGACAATTAAACAATTAGTTAAAATTAGAGTTTGATGTGTCGTACGTGGAGTGATTAAAGCGTTCGCGACTCTGCGGTTCCGTTGTGGATGTGTGGTTTCGGTAAGCAATTTTGAATTTACTTTAAATATCATGTTTTTTTTTATGGGATTAGGCCACAATTATTGGTTGTGATTGTGATGAAAATCACATTTTTAGTTTTTCCTCTTCGGAAATTGTTCTTAAAAAAGGTTTTTTGTACAAATTATACGATACAAA